ATGTAAAGCAAAATGTATACATAGCAACTGTATGGACTCACCCGTACAGCTGATTTTGACAGGTACACAGGATGGGTGCATGGACCCTGACACACGTGTTCCTGCATAGCCGTTAAAAACTCAACTGTGTGGGTGAGTCTGTACAACCCCTGCATATCTGATCACGTTATATGGGCTGCTAGCATGCAGTAGTAGATAGCTAGGATCAAAAATGCCATTGTGAATGAGCCATTAAAGTGTTTTAACTTCTTGTTCAGAATTTATAAACAGTGTGCATAATCTGGGCACAAGCTTACTTGAATCTTGACCTAGGGCAGTGTTTCTCAACTCCAGTCCTCATGGACCCCCAACAGGTCATGTTTTCAGGATTTCCATTATTTTGCACAGGTGATTTGATCAGTTTCACTGCCTTAGTAATTACCACAGCTGTTTCATCTGAGGGAAATCCTGAAAACATGACCTGTTGGGGGTCCATGAGGACTGGAGTTGAGAAACACTGACCTAGGGAAACAATGATGTCCAATGTATGGCCTAAGATTAGTATCTACAGAACTCTCCAGGTTCAAATCACTCATCAATAGAAAAGAACAGGTATTTGGTGACTGAACTGTAGAGAAAAAAAAAAATAAACCACACATGCCTGCTATTGCTAATCTGTCATGCTGATTCAATGGCTTCAATACTTTGACTCAGTGACCAAATGAAAGTGTATAGGTTAAGGGCATATTCATAAATCAGTAAATCTTGACATTCATCAGAAATCCATATCAGGTCAGTCTTCCTGGCTAATGTGCTTTAAAATGAGAGTGATTGAGTCACCATCAGTGAAGGTTTGTTAAAATTCATGTTCACTGCTTTATAAATATGCCAGCCTGTCACTGGTAGAGGACATTTTCTATACCACTCACTTCTGTATGCTAGCATGAGCATCCAGGGAATGTGCCTCATTGGTTTGATGAGTGTCCCGGGACCAGGTTCAGATGCCGCGACTGTCGGCATTTACTGGAGTATTCCAGAGGCAGTTTCTATCCCCACGCTGTTGTTACTTTATTTTTGAGTTTCTATCCCCACCTGCTGCCTGTCAGACCTGTGTAGCACTGGGCTGAGTGAAGCGATCCAAAATCCTTGGCTCTGTGCTGCACAGATCTGACAAGCGGAGCTGCATGGATGAGACTGCAGGAGGCAGAGAAAAAAAAAACAAAACATTCTACCCAAAAGAATGGACCCTTAAGAGGTGAGAGCTGAGGAGGGAAGGAGGGAGCCAGTTATGCAGAGCTGTGGATGTTCTGCAGAGGTCAGAGCTGGACGTGGGGGGTGGTAGATTGGGCAAAGCGAGAGGTGTGGGCAGGGTGATGTGTACAGAGTGCTGGGGGGGGGGTTAGCCTTGACCACACCCATTATTTGGCAACACTTTACTTCCTGAGAATGGTGGGATTGGAGGTGGGAATGGTGGCGAGGTTGGAAGCAGGGAGCTGACTTGGGAGGGTGGGTTCCTGCGCCTTTTCTCTGTGAAAAAAAAAAATGCCCATTAAAGGCTCTTTGAAAATGAGTTTTTAAAAAAATCAGATCAGATCCCTCCCCAAAGATTCTGGCCAACCTTGTTGGCTCCCACACAAGTTTCTCATTAATTACCATTATTCAATCCGACATGTTCAAACATGGGAATAGAGGGCCTGTCTGATGTGTCTTCTGATTTTGTGACCAACGCCTCTTTTATGGCATCATATCCATTTATTACAACTGTCTTTTCAAAGAATATGTTGAGGCTGAATATGTCTCCATACTGTGTCCGCAACTGAAATAAAAAAAAAAATATTATATATAATATATAAATATATAAAATATATAACCGTATAGGTTCTGTGTACTTTTCATTAAAAAGGGAACAATTTCAGATGAAGAATACCTAGATCTACATCAAGCACTGCATGCAAAGATTATGAAGAAACTAAGGTAGATTACTACAACTTGTGAAAGATAAATGAATGAGAAACAGAACAATGGGTGAGCTCCATTGTTACTGTACAGTGCATACAAATGTATAGTATGTATTGTTTGTACTGTATGCACAGTAGCACAGCTCACAGATCATTCTGTTTTTTATCCTTTCTTCTTTCACAACTCACTCAATTCTTCTGTGGTTTCTTCACAATACCATCAATATATACAGAATTTGTAAGGAAAGCATGACACCTACTATTTCCACCACCATCTCTCACATCCTCGTTCCCCGGAGCACGGAGAGAAATATGTTAATTTGGGATAGTTATACCATATTTAAACCCAAAAACAAAAATGTTATATACTGCAGCTTACCAGCTCATAGATGTGGTTGCTATATTTTTTTAATCTTTTTTCCCCAGCAGTCCTGATAGTAACAGATTTGCTGTCTTAGGGAGATAACGCTCACCACCCTACTAGATCAGAACAATAGAAACAAGATAGGGCTAGAGAAACTTCAACAAAAAATAAAAATAGAAAGATACATCGTGTCAACTTCCCCTCTCAGGCTCAGTGAACAGCAATCCGTTTTTCAACCACTTGACCTCCGTAAGATTTACCCCTCTTCATGACCAGGTCATTTTTGCGATACGGCACTGCATTATGTTAACTGACAATTGCGCGATCATGCAACACTGCACATAAATTAAATGTATGTCGTTTTTTTCCTACAAATAGAGCTTTTATTGGTATTTGATCACCTCTGGGTTTATTTATGGCGCTGTAAATAAAAACACCGACTTTAGGCCAAAATTTATTCTGCTACATATTTTGGGTAAAAAAAAAAATAAGCAATAAGCAAATATTGTTTGTGCAAAAGTAATAGCATCTACAAATAGCGGTATATATACACTGGAATTTTTTTAATATATAGTAATACAAGTAATAGCAGCGATCAATGACTTATAGTGGGATGGCAATATTGCGGTGGACAGTCTTACACTAGCTGACACTTTGTGGGAACCAGTGACACTAATACAGTGATCAGTGCTAAGAATATACACTGTATTAATGAAACATGTAAAAATTACGCAGAACATCCAGCGCTCCTCTACTGTGTAACAACAATTAGTCCATGGATAAACACACTAAGAGCCTGTCATATAGCAGCAATTACTGTAATAGTAGATGAATGGTAGAGGAGTGGATGAAGGGATGAATGGATGGATGGATGGAACGTGGTTCACCTCTGCAGCTCCAGTGAGATCTGGGCAGGATCACCTCATAAGGCAGTTAACAGCAAAAAGCAAAGCGCTGAGGTTAAGGCTCCATGCACACTGGGTGTTTTTAACGCTGGTAACATTAGTTATGTAAAGTCAATGATGTGCGTTTTGCCTCTCCGATGTGGGTTTCTATAATGAAAGTATGGAGGAAATGCTGGCGTTGTCTATGAAAAAGTTCTGTGTCGCTGGCTCTATTTCTCCTCCTCTTTGATGCTCCGAGATATGTGTTCCCCTATCGTGCCCTAATGGAGTTGAGCCTTGCTACTCCAGTTCATTTTGAAATGCTCTCCGGTTGGGACTCGTGGCTCGCTCCTGGTTGCCAGCCGCGGGGCCACTCCGGTGAGGTCCTGGTAGGAGGCCTCTTTGACCCTGCTTTTGCCGTTCCCGTCTCCTGACCCTCTCTCTTCTTGCCCTTTATTTTTTCTACAACTAACTTCTCTCTTTTCTTTTTATACTTTTTTATCTTTTTTCTTAGTTTGGGTTAGACACTTAGTTATACGGAGTTATTTCATTTTGTTTCATAAGTCTCACCTGGGGATTCCCCCCTTGAAACCATGTTTTTATATATCTCCGTAATATATGCTGTTGATCCTTTCATCTTCCCATTGTATGGAATCACTTTCACCCACCCATATGGATCATCTCCATATCTGTGATATCTGTATGTTCATTTATTTGTATATGTTATCATTATTTCTAATGTTTTGTTCTGTTAAATTTGATCCGAAAAATATAATAAAGACAAATTTGCCTTTAAAAACATGAGTTGTTCAGTTTTTTTTTTTTGCATTAGCATTTAGTGGCGTTTTCCCATGTTTGCGTTTTTTTTAGTAAAAGTTTTTTATGTAAAAAAAATCCAAAAATGGCGGTTTGCGGTGTTTTTCAGGGTTAGAGCGTTTTTACAGCTAAATAACTCCTCTAGAAACCCACTAGTCCTGGGGGGGTTTTTTTCCAGCCAAAAAACATTGATTATAGTCTAGGTGTGCATGGACACATAGGATAACATGCTGGGGGGTTTACTGGCTGTAGAAAAAACATCAAAAGCCAAAAACAGCCGCTGTAAAAACGTCCAGTGTGCATGGGGACTAATACTAAGCTAAAAACACCTTTATTAAAATCTGCACACTTGCATATCAGAATTCACCAATCCACCAGTGGATAATGACACAGCAGGTTGAAACACCAGATCTGATCTGCTGAAGGTACACAAAGGCAGTAAATGGCCACCAAACAGGCATCAGCAGGGGCTCCAATGGGCCAGCAGATGGTGTAGATAAGAGCTGGTGACGTCTACAGCCGCACAAGGAGGGTGTTGGAATCCTTAGGTGATTTCAGGGGGGGGGCAAGCATAGCTCGTTTCAAGGGTCTCAGCCCTCTTTTTCAAATGTATCACAAGGTGATGTTAGAGTGCCACCAACAGATGAAGCACCAAAAAGAAGCAGCATCAAGAGTGGGTGCACAAAGTGGAAGTGTCCACGGGAGCAAGAAGTAAGTTGAACTGCTCTTTAATGGTAACCTGGGCAAAAACAAGCATTGGGGGAATCCCCACTGTAAGGGGGGTTAATACATTTCTACATTAAAGCCATAAATCAAAACCCAATGTCTTATTTAGCATTAGGGCTCATGTACACTGCAGCTGATAAACTCATGTTTAGGAACTGTTCAGCGTTTTTTTTCAGCAGCCCCTGAACACACCCTAATGTTCTCCTATTTGTCCATGTACACATCTTCATTTACAGTTGTTTACAGGCATTTGAGTTTACAGTCATTTTTTGAACGCAGGAAACTTGTGCTCAGCAGTCGATTTTATCAGCAAAACGCTTGTAATTGTAGCTAAACATGGCAAATTGCATTTATAAGCATTTGCGTCTGAAAATGTTTTTTAACTCTTCCAGTTCCTGATGCTGTCCAGAGCCTTTTTTCATCATGAAAAATGCATGCAAAGTGTTTTCAAGGTACTCCTAGGGACAAAACACTGAACACAGGATGTTCCTACCAAGCTTGTCACACATTGTAATTCACACCATGGAAACAAAAGATATGTTAATCATTCACACCTCAAATTCTTCAGGAAGACCCCCTGCCAGGTGACCTTAATAACTTCCTCCACCAGACACCTTACCACCCTTGGAAACAAAAGAAATATTAATGAGCAACTCACACCAAGCTAATGTCAACACATACTGCTGTCTCTGCTTCTTCTCTCTGTATTTCCCTTAAACAGTCTGAAATGGTTAATAATTTACCACTTTTCAGTGCATTCTGGGCATTTGGGAGGTTCTCCTGTGCTTATCTTTAAAAAACGCTTCTAAGCGCAAACGCACATAAGCGCGCTATGCAAACGCAGCTAAACAGACGTTTTTTAACCTACGTTTCCCAACAGTCAGTTTCCATCGTTCAGAAGTGTCCCGTGTACATGGGGCCTTATGGTGTTAATAGTATTATAGCTTTTTTTTTACCTTTGATAAACTTTCTGGAAAGTTGTTGAAATCCACATGGAAAATATTTCCAATCAGAGGCAGAGGGAAGGGTCCTGGAGGGTAGTTGGCTCGCCTTCTGTTCTTTACCAAAACAGCCACCAGAGCAAGGACAGCGATTGCAAGTCCTAGAAGTGTTGTGGTCCACACAGACGGCATACTCAGAAGCTGTATACTTAAATGTGATCTCTCCCCAGATAGACTTTACTTTCTAAATACAAAAATTACAATTCTCTTAAAATGTAAGGCAGATGGTGACTGCATCTGACCTAATCTGTACTTCTAAAATCCTAGCAATGAATACCAACCCATGTTGAACTACAGACTTATACAGACTTTATCAGCAGGCCAGGGGGAAAAAAAAAAAAGAGAAAAAGTTTCCTCCTTTGTTGGCTGTATTCCAAGCCCTTCCCTGTTCCCAGCAGCTGTTGTGCTACAATAAAACACTGCATACAACAAAACCTTTTCTAGTTCCTCTATGCAAGACCTCTCAAATTCCTAGAAGTTTGGAGTGACTCATCTAAAGTTTTTCCCCCTTCAGACTAAGTTAAAACAAATCTTAATCCCTGTACATAGTTTTGAAGCTTTGACATGTTTTAACCACTTGCCCTCCAGAGGATTTACTCCCCTTGCTGAGCAGGCCATTTTTTGCGATACAGCACTGCATTACTTTAACTGGCAATTGCACGGTCATGCAACACTGCAACCACATAACATTTATGTCCTTTTTTTCCCTACAAATAGAGCTTTCTTTTGGTGGCATTTGATCGCCTGTGCATTTATTTTTTGCGCTATAAACAAAAAAGACCGACAATATTGAGAAAAATAAACAATATTTTTTACTTTTTGCTATTAAACATGTCCAGTAAAAACATTTAAAAAATCTAATTTCGTCATAAATTTAGGTCAAAATGTATTCTGCTACATGTCTTTGCCAACAAAAAAAATCCCAATATGTGTAAATTAATTGGTTTATTTGAAAGTTATAGTGTTTACAAATGGCTGTATAGATACTGGATTTTTTTTTTTTGGTTTTTACTAGTAATGGCAGCGATCAGCAACTTACAGCAGGACTGCGGCAGGCATTCTGACACTGGGGGAAACTGACTTGGTGTCACTGACATCCCCAGTGACACTAATACAGTGATCAGTGCTAATAAAAAGCACTGACACTGTACTAATGACACTGGGCAGGATGGGGTTTAACATCTGGGGTGATTAAAGGGTTAACTGTGTGCTGTTTCACTATGTTGGCTGTGTGTGTGCTTTACTGTAAGCACACTGCTTTGTATGGCTCTGCTATGCAGACCCATACAAAGCAGTGTGCAGGAGCTGACAGGGGAGAGATCTGTGTTTTTTAAAAACAGGGCTCTAGCCCATTGGAGATACGCAGCGATCACCAGGTGCCGGTGAGTAATCACTGGCCGGGACCTGGTGATTGACAGCCGAGGCTGTGAATGGCTGGAACTGCAAAATCACTTATATACATGTGATTTTGCACACCCGTGCCGCCCTGTAACAGTATTTCTGGCACAAAATTGGTTAATAAAACTGTACATATCGCAGGTGAATTATACTTCGTTTTTTTTCCAACTCTGATCTAGCGCAAACCCTGATAACCATTTTTTTTTAACCACACTCTGCTTTATTTACAACTTTTTCTCCTCTAGCAAGAGGAGAAAACAAAACAGGGGTGAGCTGTACAGTGGACGATACCGTGACTGACTGATTACTGTTATAGCTAATCAGAGGCTACCACAGTGATCAGGAACCAGGATTCCATGTTTTCCAGTTATTAGTACGAAGCCGACAGCAGTCACTGACAACAGTGCATTTTCAGCACAAACAGTAGAGGATATATGCAGCCCCACAGATAAAGATCCATTTTTGTGAGGATTTTGGTGCATTACAGTGCGTTTTATCGCGTTCCAGTACAGTTCTGTGCAGAAAAAAATGCGGTCTGTTCTACTTTTTTTTCTGCATCCAGGACTGCAAGCACTAATGTGATATATGACACTGACAACAATATAACCTACTTTCTGTGCATTTTGGATGCAGAGAAAAGCACAGTGAAACACATGTAGTGTGAACTGGCCTTAAAGGCACATCATTTATTTTTGGCACTGGACAAACATTTAGATGTTAAGGGGATATTAAAGGTATTTTTTAAAATAAAAAACAAACATGTCATACTTACCTGCTCTGTGCAGTTGTTTTGCACAGAGCAGCCCTGGTCCTCCTCTTTTTGGGTCCCCCACCAGTGCTCCTCTGGCTTCTCCCCTTGACCAGTGCCCTCAATAGCAAGCCGCTTGCTATGGGGACACTGGTGCAGGCACACTCCCGAGCCCCACTCTATGCGTCCATAGGACACATTGAGCCGTGGCTCAGCCCTGCCAACTGCTCTCTCCTCATTGGCCCACTAGTTGTGATTGATAGCATTGAGTTCCAATGGATCCCGCTATTGTGTCTCAGCCAATGAGGAGAGAGAGAGACCTGGAACAGCTGAGGCTCCCATGCACATTGCTGGATTGAGAGGAGGCTCTGGTAAGTATTGGGGGGGAGGGGGGTGCAGAGGAAGCAGCACACAGAAGGTTTTTTACCTTCATGCATAGAATTCAAAGGAAAAAACCTTCAAACTTTACAACTACTTTGATTTTATACAAAGTAGATTAGGGGTACATTCACATAGTTGATTAGAGGCATACAACAGATTTTTGTAGCTGGGATCATAACTATATAGAAACACCTGTGGCTGGGAGGCTTGTACAAAGCATTGCCAGGCTGACATAAGTCATGGCTGTTCTCATGTATCCGCATATCCAGTGCTTGAGGACAAATGTCTGGCCTTTAACATAATGACAGAGGTGATATGCACATGGCCTGATTTATGTATATCCAATATCTGGAATGCCACTGGGGGTTTTGTAAATGTTTGTAGTAATCTGTGCTATGTATAGTGACAGATGAGATCTTATGGGTTCTGTTGAGCAGTTCCCCTCAGAGTATGATGCCAGTAGGTCGCACGCTCAGTATCTCTGCCATTCATAGAAAACCATACAGTATATCTGGGTTTCTCAACTAACACCATTAATCTTTTTAGCGATCTGTAAGGGGGTAATTCTTGCCAATGACCATCACATTAATGTATCATCAGTTGTAGATATAGTATTTTTAGCAGGGTTCCCCAAAACCAGTGAGTTAATTCTGTGAAAAGATTGATAAAGGCTGCCTTATTTTTTTTTTTCAATTAATACAAGATGTTCTCTGACTGGATGAGGTGGAAAGGGATGGGCAGTGATGTCTTGATCTCCAATTTGTCCAATCATAGAATGCCTTGTAGTCACTAAAAAAAAAAAAACATTCAAGGCTGACTCAATAAAGGTATGCAAAAACTATCATTCTTGGCAGTTCAGCTTTAATAATGTTTTAAATAAGGCTTTAAAAATGCCCAATTACTGTTAAACAAAAACAAAACAAAAAAAAACACGTCTGGGGTGTCTTAAACACACTGCTCAAAAAAAATTAAAGGAACATTTTTTAATCAGAGTATAGCATTAAGTCAATCAAAACCACCTGGGATATTGATCTGGTCAGATACGTTTCTCTGATCAGCTGATAACTAAGCAGGGAAGTGGGAGAAGTACCTGTCCTCTGCAATTAACCCCATCTTCACCCTGCTCCAGGTTGACTTTCCACTATATATATATATATATATATATATATATATATATATATATTGGCAGTGGCATACCTAGCACATATGGACCTCGAGGCTGGTCATTTATACATACCCTCACTGCTGCCCCTAAAAATAATTGGTTTGAAGAAAAAAAAAGAGGTGTGCATAGCGTAGAGTTGTCAATAGTGTTGTCAGAGCCTGGGTTCTCATAGCGATGTCCCAGGTCTTGTATTGATGATCGGGATCCGGAACGTCTGGCCCCCGATCACCTGATCGCTGTGATAGTCTCTGAATGCACAGCCATGCAAATCAGTGTGCAGGAGCTGACAGGGGAAAGAACAGTATTGTTTGCAAACAGTTCTCCCCCGTTAGAGATGCTTGGCAATCACCGGCCGCAGGCGAAAAATCACCAGCTGGGACCCAGTGATTGACAACCAGGGCAGTGAATGGGCGCATGCACCCTCTACCCGGAACTGCAAAATCACATGCATATACATGGTTTTGCGCATCCATGCCTCCCTGTAGCACTACTTCTATAGGGTGGACGGGAAGCGGTTAAAGTATAGCCTGAGCTTTGTTAATATTTACTATGTTCATTGGGTTTTTCTGCTATTGAATTGTCTCCAGTAGTTAATGTGAGAAGTAACAGTGTATTGGGTTTTAAACATTTATCTGCCTTGGCCAATCGCTGAGGGGTTTGTTCCTGTGATGTGAGCTGAGGGGAGGGGATGAAAAATTGCATCCTTTTAGAAAGGTCCTTGCCTTCTGGACTTTTGCTTGTTCTAGTTCAATGATACAA